ATTCTCATCTTACTGATGTGGAAGTTAAATCAATAAACATACAAACTAACTTGCCTGCGGGAACACAAAAGGGGAGAGAGCTAGATTTTAATGCAGGTCAGAACCCTGGATAGGTATTGATTTTGCAAAGAGATGTTGCATAAAAAGCATCCATATCTCTTGGTAGACAGAAACCAAACTAAGTGAGTTGTCTTTCTACCATTATGTAAGCATGTCTTAAATGTCCTTAAGCAGATTTTTACCTCGATGAATCTCTCTCAACAAGTAAAGCTTTCTCTATATCACATCCTTACTCTTCTGACTAGAATTCCAATTTATTGTCTATTTTTAATTTGATGTAGGATTACCCTCTGTATGCTGTGGATACCATTGGTTAATAAAGGACTGTTTTGGACCTATAGCAGGACAGAACAGAGCTAGGTGGGGGAAACTAAACTGAATGATGGGAGAAAGGAGGCAGACTGAGAGAGAAGCCATGAAGCTGCAGCCAGAGAGACGTGCTGAAACTGCTGGTAGGCCACAACCTAGTGGTGATGCACAGATTAATGGAGATGGGTTAATTTAAGACGCAAGAGTTAGCCAATAAAAAGCTAGAGCTAATGGGCCAAGTAGTGATTTAAATAATACAGTTTCTGTGTGATTATTTTGGGTCTGAGCTGCCGAGCAGCCAGGAAACAAACAAGCAGCCTCCCCCAATATTAACTTTTTAATTATTTGGTAGTTTCATATTTATATAATGAAGTAACACAATTTTTATCCCCTACTATCCTTTCCCATCCCATTCCTACCCCATCTGAAAACCATCTTCTCAACAAAGTCCCCTTCTTGCTTCCAAGTCCTCCATCCATGTTTGATATACCAAGTTTTGTTTTGTTTTTGTTTTTGCCTGGATGGGGATGAAGTAACATACTGGAGCAAGAGTGACATCATTTATAACACTACTGAAGAAAACGACATCCCTCCTCCACAATTGCTAACTGTGGATTATCCCTTTGGAGAGGGATCTCATGGGTCCCTCCCTCATTTCTGATTTGCCCAATTTTATACAAGACTTAGGCAGATAACTGCAGCTGCAGAAAGTTTATTGGCACAGTAGCTATATCATGTCCAGAAGACATCATTTTCTTATATTAGACTCACTGATAAAGTTAGATCCACCTAGGCTTTAAAACAAGATTGGCGTACCAATGTGGGGCTGACTATACCCATGAAAATAGGAAAGCTTGGAAAGGAATTCTAGATACAAAAGAACAGAGTTAAGCACTGCTTCTTGGTAGTCAGCAAATTTTTTTGTATGGATTCTGTTTGCTGGATCGCTGCAGCTCCTTTAGACAGGTTTTCCTGACTCAGCCTTGGCAAGGAAGGCTTTGTGTCTTCTTTAGGAGCCAGTTTCCTGGTTTGCCAGCACAAATGGCTCTGACGCTTTCAAGAGGTCCTGCTATGAAGCATTTAAATGAGGTTTGTGAGTAGCATGTTACAAACTGCTAAATAATATGGCATGGACCAGCTGTATACCTGGAACGGGGCAGTGTGCAAGGCTTGCAAAAGTGGTGAATGGACCTCAGCCATGTTGGAGTGGCAGAGCCAAAAGGCAAAACAGTCTTAGTTCCAGCCATGCTGCTTAGCATTTTAAGAAGCAGTCCTGGTCAGAAAAGGATTACAGATACACAATAAAGACAAATTCAGATGAAAAAGACCTCTAAATGGATCACAGTGAGTCTTAAAAATGTACATAGACTTGCGAGAGAAAAGAAAAAGAGTATAGAGAGTTATAAAAAGAAGTAAATTTTAAAAAAAAACAAAATCTTTAAAGAGACAGAATAAACTTGTAGAAAAAGAAATAGAGCAAAAAAAAATAAGCCACATAAAGATGGAATATACACAGAGAGTCTGTATTATGTATATTATTGTGCTTTCTTTGAATTTTTTGACTGTGAAAGAGCTAAGTACAAGAGACATTTCACTGTATGGGCTGCTAAGGTAAACCAACATATATTTTTAAAAGTATCTTGATTTCAAAATTTGGGTCTAAGAATTTGTTGCTTTGGAAAAGAGTTTCTTCTTTTGTTTCCACAGAAGATGAGAACCTGTGAAATCCTTCCAGACTAATGTGGTTTGATGGATCAAGAGCCCCTGAAAAGTTACCATGAACACCCCCCAAAATTACTTCACCCAACAAAAAGCAGGCAGCAGCTTGGAGAGAACTACACACAAATTCCTAAATATTGTTCATAAATGTTGGTTACATTTAAAGGGGAATATGCTATAGAGATTTGCATTGGTATAGATCTTGGTTTATTAATACAAATTTAAGATCAATTTTGTTATATATATGTGTATATGTATATATATATTTCTGTTCTTGATTAAGGTATTGTGTTTGTGCATCTCATTTAAAAATATAAGTATAATTAAGAAATATAAGATAATAAATAGTCATCAATAATAGTCAAGCTTGTAGTCATATTAGTTAGGTTTTCTAGTTGAATAGTGATGTATTTCAGATGGATAGATATTCTTCGAATCTCTCGAAGACTGCAGAATATGGCATTGAAAATGTTTTAAGAACTTAAGACTTTTCATGACAATGAGACACATCTGCTTCTGGCAGCACCAATTACTTCAAGAGGAAGATGGGCATCAAAGAGGCTCCTTATGGAGTTTGTTAGCCATTTGGGCAGGAAACTGCTCTTGCCTGAACTGCTTGAGCGGGACAGAGAGATGACTGCTGTACTTGCCTAAAGGTGAGATGGTCCTTCGAGGTTTCTGCTTCATGAAATAGTCTGCCAGACATTCTGCAGGACACAGAATAAGGTGACTGACAAACTGCCAACATAGGTGGAACTATTTTTGAAATTTCCTGCTTCATGGAAAAGTCTGCTGGATACTATGGGCCTGTAGGCTGAAGATGGTTGCTGCAATGTTATAGAAGAACTTTGGTTGACTGTCTCTGTCAATTCTGGAGTTTTGGAAGTTGCTTACAATGCACTTTCTGTTTACTTAGGTAATATCATATCCTTCTGGAGTCGTTGATGGAGTTGAAGTACAGATAGTTATAGTAACAGTTTTCCTTAGTTATGATAAAAGATAAAGTAGATATAAATGCTGTAACTATAATTCTTGCTTGATGCCTGTTTTTATATGTAATTTTACTATGTTAAAACCTTCCTTTTTAGTTAAGCAAAAAAGGGGAACTGATGTGGGAAGTCCTTCTGTATATGTATTGCTTTTATTGGTTTTTGGATAAAGAAGCTGCTTTCAGCCAATGGCTTAACAGAATATAGCCAGGCTGGAAGAGATCGAGAGAGAGAATAGGTGAAGTCTGTGAGAAACCATGTATCTGCCTGCAGGAGACAGATGCAGGAGCCTTGGTTATAAGCCACAGCCATGTGGTGATACACAAATTAATAAAAATGGATTAGTTTAGGATATAAGAGCTAGCTAGAAATGTGCTTTAACTATTGGCCAAACAGTATTACAAATAATATAATTTCTGAGTGATTATTTTGAGTCAGAGTGGTCAGTAAACACACTAGCAGCCTTCCCCAACAAACAAGTTTACATACAAGTCCACATGTAGGAAGCAAGACAACTCGCCATTATCAGATAAGAGAAGTAGGGAAGCAACCGTGGAAGCTGGTTAATTACAGAAAGCTCCATAAGAAAAACCACAGGCTGGATGGGTGTAACCCATGGCAAGGTCATCTGTGAATACATAAGGTCAAGATCAAACACGATGGAATTTGTGAAACAGAACTGAAATTCCAATATGCTTACAAGGAAATGCTTCCACTGCATGGGCAGCTCCTGATGTTTCGATGGTGAGAGAGGAATTGCTGTTTGGTGTCGAAGGACTTGACTTTGGAGACAGATGAACTTGCTCCTCTGATCCTGTTCATCCGTTTTAAAACCTCACATGCTCCATGCAATCCCACATCATTAACTGTGTTTCCTAAAGCAGCACAAAATAAAAGCTCTGAGAACCATCCTGCAGTCCATCTCCTTTTCCATCTGCAGCTGTGCACAATAAACTTGAAGGAACAGATGTCTACAAGGGTGTTCAGAGGTTCCATGTTTTATTATGCATTTTGAAAAGCACATAGAGCTTTTAAGAAACTCCATCTATATATTTGAATAATGTTCATTTTTCAACATTACAAAACATGGTGTGTACCTGCCCATCACCTAAAAAGAAAGGGGGAGAAGGGTCTCCCATTGTGTATAACTCTGTTCTCAGAAAAGCTTCTAACAGACCCTACCATCAGAGCAGCTACTTAAACCTTGACAGAAATGAGACCGCCTTAACTGGGAAATAAGGGCATGTGCAGCTGCAGAAAGTGGGAAAGGCAGCCTGCTTCCATCTTACGATATTGCCTCTTAAATAAAAGAGTGTGTGTTGTGAAAGAAATGCGGCTGCTGATGCTTGATATCTTAACCTCCTGACACTTCATATCAGAAAAGTAAAATTGATGTCAGGCATGTGAGGTTCGGCTAGCCCAGAGCAGTAATGACGTGAGCAAAAGGAAAGCCGTGGAGCATTTGGTGCACACAAAGCCACAGAACAAAAGAGAGGCCCAGTAAGGCATTATTTCAAAGAGACAGTTCTTTAAAAAGAAAGATTTGAAGGGCCTGGCGGCATAGGAGGATTCTGCTAAAGGCCTGTTTCTCTGCTGTGCAGTCGCTGTCAGGTTACAAGAGAAAATCTTTCTTCTTGAATGAAAGTGTCTCATGTTGGGTGTGTTTAACCACAATGTACAGGCAATTTTATGAGAAAGGAGTAGAGGAAAAGGTCCTCGGAAAACTATCTGGATGGGGCAGAATTTGCTAACCTCTCAAACAGCATTTGGTGGCTTCAGAGGAAATAGGTTTGGTGTATAGATGCCAATGGCTGCCCACCCGCAGCGAATGACACGGATGTGGGTGCTTCCTATTTCCGTGACGTAATCCTTATAAGGGTTCATAAGGACACATATTTAGACTTAAGTATAGCGCATGAAAGGGAGGTCATAATGAAAATCATGCCAAAAGAAGACATTTGCATTGGAGAACCTTAAGACTTGATAGCAGTCCAGGACTTAAAAAGGCAAAATGATGCCAGTTACAAGAGCAGTTGGGGACCCATGGGACCATCTTTGGGTCAGAATTCCTGAGAAGCAACAAACATCTGAGAGAAGTCAAGGAAGACATGCAGCGAGGTGAGGCTTTGTGAGCTGTTAGCTTCGTGAGCAGTGCTATAGTATGAGGGGATTCAGAAGGGCTCGGGTAGGACTCTTCATCTCTGAGGCTCCATCTCTTCATGTATAGTATTTCTAACCTGTCGGGTGGTTTTAACTGAGCTCCTAACCATTGACAAAGTAGCTAACATATGGGATTACCAATGATCATTTTTATTAGACTAAGAAGTCATAAAGAAATGTGTATGCTGGAGGCATCCTTGCATACACCAGAGCCTTTGCATTTCTAGAGAAAGCTGAGATTCAGGGAGATTTAGAGACTAGCCCTCCTACCCCAGAGTCCCAGGGGTGTTCGTACAACTTGAAGGACCAACCCTTCCAAAAGTCTGCTCTGGCATTTCTAAAGAGTAAAGAAACAAAGGGGGAAAGAATACAGACCTCCCATTTTTCTTTCTTTTAAAGGTTGGGCTTGGGTCAGGGGAGAATAGTTCAATGGAGAAGAGCCCTTGCATAATTTGTGTAAGGACGTGAGTTGGAATTCCCAGTATCCACTTAAATATCTACCAGGCATGGCTGCACATGCCTGTAACCACAAGATGGAGAAGGAAGGGGAGATGTATGGATCCCAAGAACTCCCTATCCAATCAGTTTAGCCAAACCAGTGAGCTTCTGTTACAAGGCACTAAGGTGGGGGTGATAGAGAAGGACACTTTCTTTGCTGCTCTGGGCTCTGCATACTATATGTGTGTAAAACATGCATGCACACGCACGCACGCACACACACACATACACACACGGGGCAGGCATGCATGTATATGTTCATTTAAAGAAAAACTATTATGGTCAAAAGAGAAGTTAGAAAGTGGTTGCTCTTTACCAACAATCAGGGAACCCTCAGGGCAGGCCACCTGCACACTGGTGCTAAGTCTCCTCCTGTCTGTCTAAAACCAGGCTGGAGACAGACATTTCTCTTCAGAAGACCTGGATGCTTCCAGGCTTGAAACTGGCTAGTTGAGGCCACCCACAACATGGAGGATAATCTGTTTCATTTAAAGTCATTCAGTTATGATTACTAATAGATTATAGATATAGATAGATAGATAGATAGAAGATAAATGGATAGATAGATAGATAGATAGATAGAGAGAGAGAGAGAGAGAGAGAGAGAGAGGATAGCAACATCTACTCTAGTGTTTAACTGGGCACCATAGCCTAACTACATTAACATACAAAACTCACCATCATATCTGATACATGAAGATAGGATGTATCTGGCAGAAGAAGTGATTAGCCACTGAGGTTTTGTTTTGTTTTTGCTGTTCTTTGGAGATCTGAGAGCTGTTAGTTTTGCTGGGTTATTTTGATACTGATGAACTATCTGAGTTGTGTGACCAGTAAGCTATTGCTAGGCAACCCCACTCTAAGTTTAATGAACAGTTCTATAGGGCAGCACTTTGGGCCCAGTTTCATTGAGCTCTTCTAGCCTTTGGTGGATTTACTTATGTGCCTGAGATCAGGTGCTGGATTAGGTTTCTGATGGCACATCTCACCTCTATAAAATCTCTCATCTTCTATTAGCCTAACTCAGCCTTGTTCATAGAGGAGAGCTGTCCCGAGGGATAGCAAAACATGTGAAAGATGTAAGAATCCATCCTTCCCAGGTATGCCAAATTGGACTAGTACCTCAATCTGAGATCACTTGAGGGGCTGTAAGTAGAGCCAGAGACCATTTGGCCTGCCTGGGGTAGGGAATATCTTCTCTGAACAGGGCTGAAATCAGCCTTTATCATCAGAGGTCTGGTAATTGGGGCTCCAGGGGTCATGCATAAACAAGCTCATCTCCAGCCTCCACACACAACCCTTCTGCAGTTTCATAACACAAGTCAAGCATGGCCATATGTCCCCAGAGCTACTATGGGCAGAGACAGGAAGATCTCCAGATCTTGCTAGCCACAAACTCCAGGCTCAGTAAGAGACCCTGTCTTCAAAGAATAAGGTGGAGAGTAACTAAGCACATTAAACATTCTCCCTGGACTCTGTGCACAAAGGCAAGAACATCCAAGCACACACAGGGAGTCTTATACCGCAGACACATATTTCTCTCTCTCTCTCTCTTTCTCTCTCTCTCTCTCTCTCTCTCTCTCTCTCCCTCCCTCCCCTCCCTCTCTCTCTCCTCCCTCTCTCTCTCTCTCTCTCTCTCTTTCACACACACACACACACACACACACACACACACACACAAAGAAAACAAGAATTCTAAAGAGCCCTACGCTGTAGACTTCTCTTCTAAACACGATCATTGTAACAGAGCCCCCTTTTATAGAACTAAAGATGAGTGTTTCTACCCAGCTCATTTTACTGCAAGTCAGCCTCGGGGTCATTTTCATTGTCCCTGCCCCTAGCTGAGCTGGTTTCAGACATTTCTCCTCTTCATCAGCCTGATGATATTGCCGTAAATGCACTGGAAATCTGTGTCGGTGTTTTACGCAAAGGAGGCATCAGAAAAACTTCCCTCCAGTTTCACCCCACTGGGAGAGAGGTTGCTGCCACTGGGATCACCCAAAAGTTTCTCCTGTGGCCTGTGAGAATGTATATGACTCAGTGGTGGAGCCCTTGCCTAGCATGTGACTGCTTAGGCAGACACCCAGTAGTAGAAAGAAACAGAAAAAAGAAATGAAATGCCTTTCCAGCTCCCGCCCAGCCCTGCTCTCCCTACCATGCAGCAGAATCAAGCTGAGAGCTGCCCATATCCAGCTTGAGTCATAAATCTACAGCTGCTGACACCAGCAAATCCATCTTCACTTGACGAACAATAAAAAGAGGAAGATGGAGACAGAGCGAGGGAAATTTCATAAGTGAGGTTTTATTGATAGACACAAACCAAAAGCAAAAAAGTCAGCGGTTATGACTGGAAACTTGTGGTTCAGAACTGTTAGACCCCGGTACCCAAATCCATGTCTGCAAGAGCAGACATTCATGGCACAGACAGCCAAGGAGAAGGTTGCTCAACCAGTGGTGTTGCAATACTGTGTGTGTGTGTGTGTGTGTGTGTGTGTGTGTGTGTGTGTGTGTGCATGAGTGAGTTTGTGCATGAGTGTGTGTGCACAATTGTGAACATTTATATGTGTTTATGTCTGTGCCTATGTGTGCGCATGTGTGTACATGTGAGTGTGTATTATGTTTATGTCTGTGCCTATGTGTGTACACATGAGTGTATATTACAAAACAACAAAGCGTGCCTTGGATAGTATTTCCCTTCTATATCTTCAGCTTACTAAGCTTGTTTAGTGCTATTCAAAATAATCTCTAGAACTAATGTTTTTGTTGGCGTCCCAGTTCATTAATTTTTATTCCTTTATTAAATCCTTCAAGCTGACTTTTTAGAAACTGACATTATGAACGAATGTGCCAAGGAGGTGTTAAATTTGCACTTGACATCTAACCAAGAAAATACAAACACCTGTGTTGTTTGAAAATCTGACACCAGCACACGAACACAAACATTTCTGACTGGAAGTAATGGAATACTGAGCTCCATGTGACTTCTCAGGCTGCCGTTTTAACTGTGTTGTGAGGAGCTGAATTTGAAGAAGAGCAGCCAAGGTGTGTTCGGCCAGAATAAGCCGCATCCTAAGGCACTAAATCACAGAACTCTGTATCTTCAAAGACCAAGAAAATCCTGCACCAGAAGTCTGGGATCTGGCAGTTAGGTGGGATTAGTTTAACTGTCCTGAACTTCTTGAAGCATGAAGGTCTGATGTCCTAACCCTTGGGGCTCTCGTGAGGAAGGTGTTTGCCATGGCCATGGAGAAGTCTCCGCTTCAGTGAGCCTCAGGCAGTGACTGATGAGGGATCAGAGTGAGTCCAATTTGGGCTGTTAGAAAAGAAGAAAGAGGAGGAAGGGGAGAGAGGGAGGCAAGTGAAGTAGACAGCTAGCCATCATAGTTCCATGCTTTAGCCTCGCAAATGCACTTTAGCCTACATTTCTTTAGCCTAGCAAATGCACTTCTGTAAGTTACCATAAAAACTAACAAGGAAAGTTCCCAGAGACTTCCTTTAACTAATAATCTGGGCTGTGGTTAATGATCCCCCATGCAAGTTCTTCACTGTGTTACTGTGTGGAAATGATTAGGTAGACAATGGCAGGCCCAATACATCTACACAACATGGGAAATAGGCTACATTGTAGGTGAAATGTGTCGGCCATGAAAGAACAAACACTGCGCTGTCCCACATAGCAAGGTTCCCAGAGCAGTCAAGTTCCTAGCCAGGTTAGTAAAGCGAGGGCTGTTGTAAGGAAAAGGGAGGATGGGAAGTCATCATTTAATAGCTGTAGTGGTTTTTGAAGTGCTTCAGTATTTTTTGAAGTACCAGACATTTGCACAGCAATAATAATGCCTAGGATTGATTAAAATAGAAAACTTTATGTGTAAAGATGTTTCCACCGCTAAAAATAAAATATTGATTGTTTCCAAGATGACTACATGCATAATTTTAATTTTACTCATTTGCCTTAATATTCCATTTTTTTTACAAACTATAGATTTTTGCTAGTAACAGAAGAAAAACCTAGTCATATGGGCAAAAAAAAATGCCTATTCCAAGCTTCAATTAATGTTGCTTTAGCAGCTGATAACTGTGATAATTAAAAGGGAATTGTTTGTCTCCTCTGCTAAATCTATTTTTTTTTTGCCCAGAGTGTCTTTTCTGCCACATGCCTCCCGCGTTTGTCTATAGAAGATGCACACTCCTCTTAGTACCCCCTCCACCTGCCCCAGACTGGGAAGATGGCATTTAAGAACACTGGCTGCTCTTCCAGAAGACCTGGGTTCAATCCCCAGCAGTCACGTGACAGGTCACGACTGTCTGTAACTCCAGTTCCAGGGGACCTGACAACCATGGAAAAACACCAGTGCACATAAAATTTAAAAATAAATTTAAAAAAGACCCCCTTCCTGTTCTCAACCCCTCCTGTTGCCTGGGTACATTATCTGTAACAGGCACACACGCGTGCATGCACACACACACACACACACACACACACACACACTAATGTGTTACATCATCTCAAAATGATGAAACATATCAATAGGTATATTTACCCCCAATATAAAGATGAGAAAACTGAGAAAGAGATACAAATCCCTTGACTTTCAAAGGTGTAGAAATCCAGCCCTCTCTGCTCCTGAACTCACACTCCTATGCTGCTTCTCACAGGGAAATTCCCGGCATGCTTCTCATGCCGATGTTTTCAGCTGGCCCTCTACAGGATAGTGGTTTTTCAGTAAGACTCTCTGCTCTCGGGCTTTCTGACCATTTGAGTGATCCTGAGCTCCTTGCCACTGAGAAAAGCCATGGTCCATCCAAAGCAGTGCATAGCTGAGGAGACAGCCTGTCCCCCAATAGTCTGGGAATTCTGTAAACTCTGAGACAGGCAGGATGCTTGGGACAGGCATGGTGTAAAAAAGAACAACTTTTGCCCTCAGGCAGCGGCTCTGTCCATCCACTTACCCTGCCTGCATAACAAGAGCAAATCTAAGAAAGTTCAGGAGGAAATAGGAGAGGAGGCTCTGGAGTTAGCAGCCCTACATCCAAGTTCCCAGGTCTCAGTAGGGAAAAGCTGAGACTTTGGTTGTATATCAAATTAGGCCTGAATTATAGATTTCTGGAAATTTCTTGTTCCCCTGAAGTTCATGAAAACCTCAAGAGCAGCACTGAAGGAGAGAGCAACTTTGATGCTAAAGGGAGCAGAGGAACAGTCTCTTCCGGTGGTAACCAGCACGCAGCACAGGCCCAGACCTCAGTCTCATACAGTTGGAAGACATGGGATGTCACCCCTCAGCTTGTATTCTGGATGTCACCGAATACAGCACTACTATACATTGTCTGGAAGCGGTTGTGCAGTGGGGTCCTCCTGAGGCAGGGTCTTGTGACTGCTGTAGCTACAATGAGTACTTTGGGGTTGATCCTGTCCGCTTTTGCCTATGTGTAAAGTATATTTTCCCCAAGTTTAACTTTAATTAGTCCTTAGTGATATCCTCCCAAAAGACACCTGTAAGACAGGAAGGGCTAATATTTCCATGACAGAATGAGAACTGGTGAGACCTTTCTAATTTCCTTAGACAGGGTACAAGAAAAACTCCACTTCTTTTTCTGCTGAGGGAAGGCACTGGCATTTTGGACATTAGCTGTCGGAGGTGAGAAATCATATTCCATGATTCCCATTCATGAATCTTTTCTCATGTCTTACTGTGGCAATATGGAAACTTGTTCCCGCTCTGCCCACACCTTGTGAAACCAAGCCCAGCTTCAAGGGGCCTGTTCCTTCTATTAATTCTTGCACTCAGACCTGACAGGATAGACTGTCGGTGGCTTCTGAGAGTGGCTATGGGCTGTGACTATCCACACACACACGTGTGCTTCCTCTCCCAGTGATCACACGCGTGTGTTTACTCTCCTGGTGATCTACAGATTGTATTTACACGGCTGAGACTGGGACTTTCACAGTCACAGGACATTCAAGGAACTCGATGAAGAATGAAGGGAACTGTCCCGGGGGCGTTGGAACTAAGATTCGGAACAATGCCGACCTGCATCCCAGTCTTTATGCGACCTGATGTGTGTGTGACCCTTCATAGAGTCTTCATGGATATAGGTCTTAATTCATCAGGATAAAGTCAACATAATCCTATATCACACGTATTTTGAGAACACTTAGAACAGAACCTAGCATAGAGCAAGCTCCTAATAAGTGCCCTACTAAACAAATAAACCCAGAAAGCTGAAAGAGTCAGACTACGATGACCACAGGCTGTCTGGGGATATCACCCAGGATAGAGAGAGTCTCAAGTGGAGAAAGTCTTCTTTGTGTTATTTCTGGCAAAAAATGCTACAGGGTGCCCTGGAGAAAGGGCAGAGGAGGCACGGTGGCAGACAGGGTATTGGCAGTCTAGAAGTGAGCTATTCCCTGTTGAATACTTGGGATAAGAATTGAATTGACCCAGAGGGGGGGAAATGGAGGAGGAAGAAAAGAAAAAGTGTTAAAAATGAATTGGGCATACTCTGATGGCTACATGTATTTATCACACCGTAACTTCATTTAAGCCAATCTTCTCATTACCATGTATATGAGGAAAGCGATCTGGGGACACAAACCCACACAATAGGTACTTGAGTTTAGACACCTGCGCCTTGTCATGTGGCTTCTTGCCTGGTGTTTATCCTTAGGAACTTGGAAGGTTCCAGATTCTATTTGTCAACCTGGCCTTGATCTTTCAGCAAAATGAGTCTCAAGTGGAGAACTTGGCCTCCTCCTGACTAATGCAAATTCAGAAGATGCAATGACTCACTTAAACACTGCGGCTGTCCTGGGAATGGAGTAGCTTTGGCTCTGAGGCCAGTGACATCATCTGTGAGACACAGCATGACACAGAATGCCTCCAGCACAGAGTCGCAGCCCTGTTTCCTGCTTCGAGGAAGCAGTGCAGTCAGTTCCCACTCTCTTCCTCGATTATCAGATGCCGCAAGCTGCGCTCCTTCTCTTCAAAGAACAGGAATTATTAAATTTGAATCCTTGACCCTTGTGTGAAAATCATTGACTCTGGGCTTGCTCTGAAAAGTTTCTGGGTGGAGTGTCTGGGTCCTGGGTCACCTCTTTTCCAAATTACAGAACAAAAAATGTTTCTTTTCCTCAGAGCCCTACCTGATTTTCAAGCCTTGAATTAATGTACAAAATGCCAGTCCTTCAACTTCAACTGGAACCAAGGTGATGGGGATGGATGCTCAAGAAACAAAGCTTAAAAACAAACTTAAGTGTCTTTTGGTGTCACAGTGCTGGTAGCAAACAATATCTCATAGTTCAATAGCTAGTAGACTCCATTGTAGGGAAATTTCATCTGGTGAATATTCTATTTTATTTCATTGTCTCTTGAAACAATGCAGAACTTGGCCTTCACCTGAGTAATGCAAATTCAGAAGATGCAATGACTCACTTAAACACTACCGCTGTCCTGGGAATGAAGCTGCTTTGGCTCCATAAATAAGGTCTTGCACATAGCCTAGCTTGGCCTTGAACTCACAATCCTCCTGCCTTGGCCTCTTCACTGCTGGAATTCCAAGTATGTACTGCCACACACAATTACCTTGAGTGAAGTTTTGATGGGGAGAGGAGCTCGAGTCAAACTCAAGACCCAGCACGCACTGGTGCACGACCCTGGGTGAAATGTAACCACCGAGTTCCAGTTTCCTTATCTGTGATATGGGCTCCTGATGATGCAGACTGCTGTTGATGCATGGAACTCAGTCTATGTTCATAGAGTCCTGTCTGGGCATCCCGGTGTTCCATGTTCATAGCTAGAGTCCTGTCTGGGCATTCCAGTGTTCCGTGTTCATAGCTAGAGTCCTGTCTGGGCATTCCGGTGTTCCATGTTCATAGCTAGAATCCTGTCTGGGCATTCCGGTGTTCTGTGTTCATAGCTAGAGTCCTGTCTGGGCATCCCAGTGTTCTGTGTTCATAACTAGAGTCCTGTCTGGGAATTTCGATGTTCCGTGTTCATAGCTAGAATCCTGTCTGGGCATTCCAGTGTTCT